CACAGAACGCTGTCAAGCTGTACCTCGATGACAACTCCATTGACCAGCTACGTGACAACTGCTTTGGCCAACTCCCACACCTAAAGGTTCTCACAATCTCTCGAAATAATCTCAAGCAAATAAGTCGTTGTGCTTTCTGTGGACTGGCTGGTTTGGAACTGCTAGACCTGGAGAAGAATCATCTCGACCTCAATGCGTCCATGTGGGAAAATGAACCCTTCATAGGTTTGTCTCAACTGAGAACTCTTAACTTATTGGACAACAAGAATGATGGCCGTCAAAGTGAGTTTCATTGCCGCTTACTGAGCGGAATTTATAGTTTGGACACTCTGTCTCTGGATACATTCTATGGGAATCTCACTTTCGGCGTGCTGTTCGCTAATATGACGTCACTAGATCATCTCACTTTAAGCGGGGGTGTTAGCACGTTAGTGAATAACTCATTTCAAAGTCTGCAAACTCTCGGACTCAAAGCACTTACCATTAAAGACGCCAACAACTTACATACTACCGAGCTAGATGCCTTCCAACATTTACCTAGTCTCCAGTCGCTAAGAATTACTTCAACAGAACAAGGTATAGAAGCCACATTACGAAGCTTGTACCCGTTTCGAAATCGTTCCATGAAGACCCTCTACTTTTCCGATATTGGCAAATCTCAGTTCGTCCTCGGGGCTTCTAAATGCTATGATGGGGTCATAGACGCTTTCAAAGTGGAATTTTTGTCCCAAATCTGTGTGGAAAATTTCTCCTTATTGGACAGTAGGGTGTTTGTTTTGGAGGGTAACACACTGACTCGACCTCTGTGGCAGAAATGTGTCCAGACTTTGGATATTTCAAATAACCCGCTTATCGGAGATCGGATTTCCTTTATCCAACTTATGCACCAGTTTAAAGTTATAAAAACCATTCGGTTAGCGAATCGAAAAGAGGCAGCATACAATTCACAAAGATGGAATAATAATCCTGTTACTGGAGTGAGAACATGCAGACAGAAACATGTGGATAATGTTGCACTCACGACAACCGATGCTTCAGAGTCAGGTCCCATCAGATCTTTTCCAACTAATGTTGCAGAGAGCAGAAATCTTGAGACATTCACAAGAAGTAAACTGGAACAATCCTCACATAACACAAGTTGTGGGCACATGGACAATTCTCAACAATGCGAGACACTCGCCGTCGAAAAGATTTCAACCATTTACTTTTCCATTCCAAAGACTCTTCAGATACTTCATATGGAGAGTTTTAGCAGAAATTTGGGGCCCTTTTCCAACAATATCATTGTGACTGGAGGAAAAAATCTACGGGAACTGTACCTTCCTGGGAACAGTTTGAAATTTTTATCTCGAGTCATCAAGGGTATCAGTGGTCTTGAGACCTTGGACATTTCTGACAACGACTGCTCCGTCATTTCCCCAGTGTTTTTCCAGTTTCTTGCAAGCGTGAAAACCCTCAAAATCAGAGGGGCTCTGTTAGACAGCATGTTCATGTCCACACACAGCGAGCATTTGTTCCGATCTCTGACAAAACTCAGGTCTCTGGACTTGTCCAACAATCAGCTAAACCTTCTATCCAGAGACACTTTTCAGAATAACTCTCATCTCCAGACTCTAAACTTAGCAAACAATCGGTTCACAACAATCCCTCTGGACTTGACCATTCTCCCCAATCTGACCTATTTAGACCTCAGCAGGAACTCCATTTCCCAACTGAGCGTGAAGGACATGCAGTTAGTTGAACTACACGCTGGCACAGTCACGGAGTTCTCCCTCCACCTAACGGGAAATATGCTGGTGTGTACCTGCTCCAGTATCCAGTTCCTCACCTGGCTCCAGAACACAAAGGTCAACTTGGACAGACCCATAACCTACAGCTGTCTCACGGAGAACGGGACGCTGACCACCACTGCTGACTTTTCTGACGTCAGAGCTCTGTGGCGGAAGTGCCAGGGGCAAACCGCCCTCCTGATCTCTGTTATCGTCCTGTGTCTCATGTCTCTTGGATTTGTGGTGACCATTTTGTGTTGGAAGATGAAAACACGACTCAAGTCTTTCATCTACAGGGTTTTCCTTCAAGGATTCGTTCTGCACAGGCCACGTGATTACCGACTCGGCGTTCTTATCGGCTACGCTGACGCCGACACTAGACTGGCCTGCTTCACTCTCAGAGATTTCATCCACTCTCGACTTGGTCTGTCCACCTATGTCAGGGACATTAACCTACTTCCGGCCTCAGATATGGCCGAATCCATCGTGGACGCCGTGAATTCCAGTTGGAGAATTGTCTTACTTGTGACGTCAGATTATCTGGACAGAGACTTGTGGTCGTATTTCACAATGAAAACAGCTGCCTACACAGTCAGTCCGTCTAATCCGGGTCTGATCGTTGTTCTGTTGGAGGAAACAGTTCGTCACCGGATCCCGGCCTGTCTTCTCCGTGCACTTGAGGAAGACTGCATTCTGTATATCCCTCCCTCCCGACACTTGTCACGCGACATAGAAGACAGGCTAGCTCGGTTACTTCTTCCTTCTCACAGCTACGGATGGTTTGGGCAACAATAGCCGGTCGTTGAGTGCACTTAAGGAAGACAGCATTTTGTCTACCCCCCCCCCCCCCCACGATGCGCATCACGCGGGCGTATGCGCAGACTACAAGACTTGCTTCAGACTTGACTGTCAGTTCACTGAAAATGGGGGCATTCAAAATCCCCACGGTCGAAGCTTAAAGGAAAACAACTGAGGTCTTGAAAACACGAACACTGTCGGATACGTTTGGCTCTATGTGAGTCTTCTCACAACCCCACAGTTTGTATTGCAATGAATTAGAGGCATTCATGTAACTTTTGCTGTTGCCTGTTTTGGTAAATGTTTTACGATGCTTGAAATTGCATACGGTCGTACCAGCGCGCGGAACTTATTAAATATTTTCAGTTTAGTAGGAGTTAATTTTGAATTTTGCCGACGTGGCGGCCGAAGCCTACTCTTATCGATTTTGGACCACCAAGGGATCTTTAACATGCACAACTTGCACTTGAGACCTCCGAGAGTTTTTATCCCTTATCCGAAAAGGCTAGGTGTTAGATCCTACCTACCCTAAGATCAGGGTGTGGTTGAAAGACAGCAGTAGGAAGGAGCCAAGGAGTAGCAGTAGAAAGACTGCTGAAAGAGTCAGGAGCCCAGAGGAGGGAGCAGAAAGTGGAGACAAAAGCAGACGACAGAACATGGTTGGACAGCAACTGTCCCCGTTGGATTATGTGATTGTGCGGCCGCGTTTTTTCGCGTAATTCTGCAACAATTGCATAATTTTGGATTCCCCGCGTTTTTTCACGTCCCCCCCCCCCCCCGTTTTTTTTTCTCAAAACAATTAATTAACGCCTCGCCATGTGACTAAAGGGAAGTAGCCCCCGTAATAAGTATAATTTAAGTAACAAGTTGGTTATTTCCCTAGTTAAAAGATCTTGGTTATGGGTTGGGATTTGTGTTCCTTGAGCATGTTCAAAATTTCAATCCATCAAAAGTTGTTGTTCTCATGTCTGCTGATCTTTCATGTTTGACAGGTGTCCCCGGTTTTTAGTAATGTGCCAGCATCAGAGGTCGAGATGTCCTTTTTTTTCTAAACATTTTGTTTTTTTACCTCTATAGAGATCATCTAGATCTACAGGTGAAAGTTACAGAGATTATATTTTTTGGTTGTTTTTTTCTGACTGATGTGTATTGTTTTCTTTCCAAATACACAACAAATTACTGATACTGATATGTTCTGTTTTCAATTTTTCTGCACGTAAAACATGAAAATCATGAACATTCTTGTTGAAAAAGTGCAAAACATGTCGCGAGTGATCTTACGGTAACTTGCATAATTGTTGCATAATTTTGCTTCTTTTTTCATAATTTGGCCATCTAAATTTGCATAGTTCTTCGGGGACAGGACAGCAGGAAAGGAGGTGAAAGGAGAAAATCTTAGAGAAGAAAACTTTCCGTCGCTGTTAGGTTTCGAACCCGGGACCTATAATACTGAATGAGAGGCGAACAGTGTAACCTCTCCACCACAAGAGCCCCCCTCCCCACTCCCCTATAAAGTTTAACGTAATTATAGAGCAGACCCTAATAACTTGTGCATGTCTTCATCAACAGTAAAGGATAAAGGAATTTTGTCTACTCGCCCCTCCCCCCCTCCCCCTTCTCTTCCCCCCACACACAACCGCGCGCGCACACACACACACACACACACACACACACACACACACACACACACACACACACACACACACACACATAAAGACACACTCACACACAGACACAGATATACACTCGCACGTACACACGCACATAGACACAAATATACACTTACAAACAAACACACACATACACACGCACATACACACACATACACACACATACATACACACACACACACACACACACACACACACACACACACACACACACACACACACGCACTCATACAAGCACAGACAAAAACATACAAATACTAGCATGAAGACGAGCTGCCTGAATGCCTTGTTCCCTATTCCATCTGTTGTCAGTGTTCGTTTGATCATGGAGTAAACTTTTATGATACTGTATGAAGATTTGCATTCCAATTTGTCTTCATGTCAATATTTGATATTATTTGTGTTTGTGTGTTGTGCCCTTTTGTGCTGATAATAATATTTATAAATCTGCATCTTTCTTTATCTTAGCGAATTTTATGTTTAGATAGAAACATTCCATTATATTTTTATCAATCTAGTTGGTTAAAAAAATAAATCTTTTTTTTAATGTGAATTAACTCTCTGTCAATTCTGTACTTCATATTCATGAGACCAGGCAGCTGAAGTTCCCATACATCTCCGATATGACAGACCCAACATGTCTATATTACTTAATATCCTGTGTGTTTGTGCATTTTTGTGGAACATTTGATCTATATTTATAAATATCCGTGCTCTGGGTTTTCATCTTCATCACCATCAGCCTTTCTCTCGCACCATGCTGGAGTATAGGCAACCAACAAAAGCTCTCAATCTACTTCTGTCCTGACCTATGGTCTTCACCTCTCGCTACCTCAAAATTATAACGTTCTGTCTGACATTTTTGGGCCGTTTTGCGTTACTAAGACCATGAGGTCAGAAAGCAATAAATGCTCTATCTGCACTATCAAAATCGTAAGAATATTTGGAGTCGTTATCAAGATATTCAAAGAACTGCATTCGAAAAAGCTTGACATAATATTATTGTGAAACTCAAAAGATTTGACGACAAATTTCTCCAAACTAGGTACTGAGCAGATAGAATGTTGTAATTCTGAGGTGGCGCGTTGCCCACCTGTAGGCCTATTCCATCTCCTCCAGATCCAAATCTTGGTGGTTTTGAATTTTTTCTTTCTTCCTCTTTCCTTGTGGAGCGTCAGAATAAGCATAGATGTGTAGTGCTCTTTTTTAAACGTTTTAGTAGAGTTTTTTTTGGCGCTGGCAACTGCATAAGGTCATATGAGCGCCAAGGGGTGGATGTCAACAAAAAAGTCCTAACAGGGAATCAGACTTACTCTGCTCACCTCTCTAGCTTCGACAGCACAAAGTCTGCTTCGACTATCAAGGCACCCTGGAAATAGCGGGTCACAAGAGAGTGACAAACGTACAATAGAAGTAGAGGAAAATGACGATAATAAGGATTAGGAAAGAAAAAGCAGCAGTTCCCTGTTGTAGATTAGGCACAGCAGTTATGAGCGTAACATTGATGAATCAGTCAATTTACAATTCTACTGCGCATGAACGAGAAATGTCCCCCTTTGGGAATGGCCTAAAGACACTTCAGTCAGTGGCACCGCCCGGCGAGGGGGGGGGGGGTATATTGCTCTTTAGATTTAGAGTAAGTATCTATATAGCTCCAAAGGTCTTGTAATTAAATTCCTGCATGTGGTTGAATGATGCACCATGTACATTTATTTGTCAGCTTTACTTCTCTTTTCATATTGAATTTAAATGAAAGTAAAATTGTATTTTCACGGTCCTGTACAGTCAAGAAAAAAATTCCCTCTTGGATAATAAAGTATTATCTTATCTCATCTTATTTTATCTTATCATAAGATTTGATGGGTAATGTTTGTTTTCGGTTTTCTCAAGACATGCTCAACCCACTTTTTTTTTGGTAAGTGTTTTACGGCGCTCGCAACTGCATAAAGTCATATGAGTGCGAGAGACACATTCAACTTTTTCAGTTGGTAGGAAATTTTAAAATATTGCTAGGGTGGCGGCCGAAGCCTACTCTTATCGATTTTAGACTACCGAGGGATCTTTAACGTGCGCAGCTTGCACAGGGGCCCTCTGAGATTTTTCGCCCTTGTCCGAGGAGGCTAGGTGTAGATCTTTCCTACCAGACCACAAGATCAGGGGTGTGGCTGAAAGACAGCAGTAAGAAGGAGCCAAGGAGAAGCAGTAGAAAGGCTGCAGAAGGAGTCAGGACCCCAGAAGAGGGGGCAAAGGAGATGAGGGGGTGGGGGCAGAAAGAGGAGACGACAACAGGCAACAGAATATTGCTAGAGAGCAGGAAAGGAAGTGAAAGGAGACAAATTTAGAGGAGAAAATGTTTCGGTTGCTACCCGGATTCGAACCCGGGACCTTTGAATGAGAGGCCAACACCTTAACTTCTAGGCCACGAGAGCCCGCGCACCCACTTTTATTTTCTCTGTCCGATTTTTCTACAGTCTGTTATTCTATTTGCTCCTGTATAATTATTATGGTTTCAGGTAAATTTTTCGGATATTTTTCTTAAGATATTATTCTTAAGCTATTTATCTGAAGCTGTTTAAGAAAAATATCTTAACAAGCTTTCGATAAATGCTCTTAAAACTTAAAACTTTGAAGTGGTTTTTTTTTCTGGGTTAGTTTTCATGTTTCTGATCCATGGAATACATGAGGTTCACTTTTGACGCTGCAGTTGAAAAATCAAATCCTTGTTTTGTGGGTTTTTCATATTCGTACATAATAAACGTTTCTAGAAGAGTTGGCGGTATACATGTACGGTTGATATTATAATAATAGTATTAATAACCATTAAAACTTTTGCTGTTATTGTTATTGTTGTTGTTGTAATTGTAGTAGTAGTAGTAGTAGTAGTAGTAGTAGTAGTAGTAGTAGTAGTAGTAGTAGTAGTAGTAGCAG